TTATAAAAGTCCCTTCAATGGAACTCCACAAACTCCTCCAGGCTCAGTGGAACTCCACGAACTCTTCCAGGGTTAGTGGAACTCGTCCAGGGTCTTGGGGACCTGGGTTGCTCTATAAAAGCCCCTTCAGTGGAACTCCACGAACTTCTCCAGGGTCTTGGGGCCCTGGGTTGCTCTATAACTCCTCCAGGCTCAGTGGAACTCCACGAACTCCTCCAGGTCTTGAGGACCTGGGTCGCTCTATAAAAGCCCCTTCAGTGGAACTCCACGAACTCCTCCAGGGTCTTGGGGATCTGGTCCCGGTAGGTGATCTGGTGCCGGCGCACGGCGCGCGCCGCCAGGCACTTGAGGCTCATCTTCATCTGCGTCTTGAGCAGGATCTCGGACACGCCGGTGGTGCTCTTGTCCAGCGGCGTCTTCTGCTGCTTGTTGGTGCGGTCGGTGTGGGCGCCCGCCTCCACCAGGCTGATGATGATGGCGTGCAGCGTCAGGAAGTCGCTGATTGGCCGGTTGTACTGCACGATGACGTGCAGCGGCGTGTTGCCTTCGTGGTCCACCGCGTTCACCTGGGCGCCGCAGTCCAGCAGCAGCTTGGTGACCTGCAGGGAGGTTAGCAACCAGGTAGAGATACTTAAGTACCAAAATACAGTATCTGGACTTTAGTGGAGTATATATTTTTTCCCTACATTTACTTTTACTCCACTACATATTAGGGATGGGAATCTTCACCACCAAGGCGATACGATACACATCTCGATACACAGCCAACGATTCGATACATTCACGATTCATGGAATTTCTAGTGATAAGATTCGATACGATTCTCCAACCTCCTGCGATCCGGTGCGATACAGAACGATCTAAATTTAAAATGCTGCGATACAGTGCGATACGATACGATACAATACGATGCGATGCAGAAGAAAAGTACACCATGGACTACATAGTTCAAGTTATGGCACGCAAGCTAACTGTGCCTTTTATTTTGAAACAAAGGAAGTGAAACTTAGAGAGTGATTGTCTCTCTGAATGGAAACATGGATGGAAAGAAACACAACTAAAACTCAAAGACACGTTTCTAAAAAGTTATAATAATAGAAGATAATAATCGGTTTGTATCGATGCAGGTAGTTTTATACGATGCATCTCGAGTTTATGTGCGGTTTTTACCGATGCAGACGTTTGCAAATCGATGCAACCGTATCGCACAGGTCGTTCCGATGTTCCGATACGCATCGGTGAATCTTGCCATGCCTACTACATATTAATTTAATACTTTTACTTTCAGGAGCTGAGTCGTTACTCGTTACTGATATGTAAACGTAATGATAGATAGTTCTGTCAGGGTTTGGGAAGCTGGCTCCTCATTGGCCTATAAAAAGTGCCTCCCGAAAGATTGTGGAATTTTGTGTGACCTACTGGGGAATTCCCAGTAACTGGTTAGGAGCCAAACCTGGTTAGGTTACCCGGAGGCCGTGGTTAGCCTGTTGGTGGAAGAGCTTGATGCCTCATGTTGATGCTTCTGCGCTCAAACTACTTAACTCATTGACTGGCAGCCATTTTCAGAACAGAGTCCCATACTGCCAGTTTTTGGAGCATTTTGACTGATTTTTCCAGAGCCACAGAATAGTTTGTGCTATGACTATGTAAACACCGAACACACCAAAAGAAAGAGTAGACTCTCTTCTTTCATCAGGAAAAAAAATGTGTTTCTACCTTATTCCGTTCTTCCTGGACTTGCGTCTCACCGGCGACATGTTCTCTCATAGAACCGTTCCCTTTTTCTTATTTGCCTACAGTCTATGCTCATCTCCCATCAAAAGTGGCACTGCCCCCTAGAGGGTCAATTTGTTACTACACACTCTGTCTAGAAGCCCATATTTACGGACAAGCTTTAGCAGATCGTCCCCCAGACACTCTTGTTAAAAACATAAAAGACCTCTATAGACGTCTTTGGCAGCCAATGAGTTAAGTACCAAAATGCAGTATCTGTACTTTATTGGAGTATATATTTTTTCCTACTTTTACTTTTACTCCACTACATATTTTTGTTTGATTTAATGGTTTTACTTTTACTTTCATGGGCTGAATCGTTACTCGTTACTGATGTGTAAACGTAATGATAGATAGCTCTGTCAGGGTTTGGGAAGCTGGCTCCTCATTGGGAGATTTGAGCTATCAATATAGCCTATTAAAAAAAAAGCCTCCCCAAAGATTGGGAAATCATGGCCTTCAAAAATTCCCCATCTGATCTGAAGAAGCATATCAAGGTAAGTTAAAAAATACAATGACATATAAGCTAGTAAATAAGCGCTAGTTCAGTTTTAACGTTAGCTAAAGCTAACTTAGCTTTGTTTTTGTAAACACCTGTATGGCCTTTCACACGTTTGAAATAATACAAACAATATCTATCACACTTTTGACTGCCTTTTTTTATATACACAGTACTTGTACTTTTACTTATACTTGTACTTTCGATACCTGAGTAGCAATTTTTGTAATACTTCAACTTGTAATACTTAGTCAAACTAAATCACTGACATTATCCACCAATTATTTTGACTTATGTATATACATAGGCTATAGTTTTTTATGTATATATCTATCTATATTATATGAGGGATTTTGTATTCACTTTTGACTGCCTTTTTTTGATATACACAGTACTTGTACTTTTACTTATACTTGTACTTTCTATACTTGAGTAGCAATTTTTTTAAATACTTCTACTTGCAATACTTAAGTACAAATAAAATGGAGTACTTCCGTACTTCCACTCAAGTCTGGTGTTGAAAGAACACTTCAACTTTTACTCAAGTATTTTTTTTTATATAGTACTTGTACTTTATAATCTGGGGTTCTCTGACTCAGGACCAGACGGAGGTGCAGATGGAGTGCCATACGGAGAACCGAAGGGGAACCCAGAGGGTCTGTAATATCAGCGCCCCCTTCATGAAGGCCCTGTCCTAGGTATTCATCCACCTTACTTTTATCTTTTGATTTTTTAAATATTTTATGCGTTTCTTGTGTCTTTAATGTGTACGGAGTGTATGGAGGTGAAAGAACACTTCAACTTTTACTCAAGTACATTTTTTTATACAGTACTTGTACTTCTAGTCCTTTTCTGTACTCCAGTACTTTGAAAAGGGAACACATCACACCAATCCTGGCCTCACTTCTGGCCTCACTTCATTGGCTCCCTGTCCATTTTAGAATTCATTTCAAAATCCTTTTATTTGCTTATAAGTCAATAAATGGCCTAGCTCCACCATTCCTCTCTGAGCTACTACAACATTACCGTCCCGTAGGTCCCTTAGATTAGCTGATCAGCTCCTTCTGAAAGCACCTGGAGCAAAGCGGATATACATGTATATATAATATACACATTTATTATTCAAAGCGGGAGCTCAGAGGGGACCGAGCGTTCCCTTTCTATCAGACAGGCCCCTACACTCAGCTCTTTCAAAACCCTTTTAAAGACCCACTTTTACTCTCAGGCCTTTGAGTGAGACTTCCACTTTTATCTTAGTTGTCTTATTTTCCCTCTCTTCTTTTTTTTTTTTTTTTTTCTTCTTATTTTTGTTTTATTTATTTACTTATTTATTTATTTTTTGCTCTTACTGTTTTTTGTTTTTTTTTATTATTATCTTTGAGTTTGTCTTGTGTTGTGGTGATGATTGTGTTTTATGATCTGCTCAAATGACCTGTACAGCGCTTTGATTTTAGCTTTGGCTGACTGAAAGCGCTTTATAAATAAAGTTGAGTTGAGTTGAGTACGTCTCTGACCTGTGCGTTGGGGAAGCTGCAGACGTCGTTGGTGTGGAAGTCGTCCACCGGCGTGCTGGAGCTGATGGCCAGGTGCAGCAGAGAGGCGCCGTCCCGGGAACGCGGGTCCAGCTGCACCAGCTCGTACACGTGTCTGAGGACAGATATCAGTTAGAATTAGAACGGGGGGTAAAACTCAGAAACATTCAAAACCTCCTAACACTTTCTGCAGATACTCCTGGCTCTGGAGCAGTGGAGTCTGGATCTGTGGTTGGGAGTTTCCTGCTGCCCCCGTGTTCCTGCTCTGTTGCCGTCATAACTTCTATAATTATCATTAGTATTAATATCATTGCCATTTTTCATCTAGTCTATGTGTTGCTGTGTTGGCTGCCTCTCTCTGCTCCCTCTGTCCTTGTCTCTTGCCCTCTCTCTCAAAACTATTTTTTAAACAATCAATCTTGCCTTCCAGTCGGACAAGATCATTTGAGTAGTTTCCACCATTTTCAGGTGAAAACTTAGTAGTAGGTAGTAGTTGGTAAACCAGCCTGAAGGTGCATTCCTGCCAATTAGACCAGATCAAGTGTTTGAACGAAGGAAAGAAAAATGAGTATTGGTGGGCAACAGCTCTTATTTTGTGGAACCCCTTTATCATCGTGGGACGACAAAACTATTTTTTTAAACAATCAATCTTGTCTTCCTGTCTGACTAAAGTTTGTGACTAGTTTCCACCAGTTTACAACGTTTTGGTATCAATACTTTTTTGAGTATCGATACTTTTCATCAAGCCTGGCCACGGCCCTCGTTTCCTGGATCCCCTTGATAACAAAATTTAAGCAAACTATGCCTCACTATAGACTTAAATTAATAGAAAAGATGGAAACATTCCCTGGATTTCCCATCTCTGTAATATGAATAACAAAGTGGTGGCAGATCCAGTGAACGACGGAAAGAAAAAACGAGTATTGATATCAATACTTTTTTGAGTATCGATACTTTTGACCACCCTGGACCCCTTTGATATCTTAGAACAAAATCTAAGCAAATTATGCCTCAGTATAGACTACCGTTCACAAAAGGGTTCTCATATGAACAGAAAAAATGGAAGAAAGAATAGACGAGCACTGGTGGGCAACAGTGTTTTAAGTATGTATGCTTAATTTATAAAGCGCTACATGGACTAGCCCCATCTCCTGTGTCTACCCTGTTCAAACTTAAGACTTCCAGTGGCCTAAGAACCAGGGCCTCCTCTAGAGGAGACTGTGAGGTCCCTCACAGAAGAACCGCTTTTGGTCAGAACCTTCTCTCAGTGAGAGCCTCTAACATCTGGAACAGTCTTCCTCTGCACATACGGGAGAGCCCACACTGTACAGCTTTAGAGCTCAACTTAAACTTTGGATGAAAGCAAGCCAGTCATGTGACCACTAAAATCTAAACTTTTAATTGTGATGCTTATATTGTTTATTATATGTTATTTTTTATGCCTTTGCCTGCCTAGGGACTACGGATGAAAATGAGCTTTGTAGCTACAATCCGGCATATTTACATTTGTTTTTGACTGATGTTCATTAATGTGCTTTGTCCCTATTCAAATAAATAAATAAATAAATAAGCTCTTATATCCTGGACACCCTTGATAACAAAAGGGTTCTCATATGAACAGAAAAGATGGAAGAAAGTATTGGTTTCCGGGCCTCGTTTCCGGCGTGCACCTGCCTGTTGATGGCGGCGCGCTGCTCCTCATCACACGGCGTCTTGGTGGAGATGCACGCCAGGTACAGAAAAGTGAATAGATTTGACTCGTAGTTGTCTGTGGCCTGCGCCAGCTCTGCCTCCCCCCCTCCCCCTCCCGCCCCCCCCCACCCCTCCCCCTCCCACCCCCCCAATAATCCCCTCCATGCGGGCGGCGCTGCGGCGGATCTCCAGCACGCTGCAGCCCAGCACGGCGTTGACGCTGGCGGCGGGCGGGCGCTCCTTGAGGTGCAGCATCTGGGAGAAGACCTGGGCGAAGCGCAGCAGGTCCTTGTGCGTGCCGCGGAGCCCGGCCTGCCTCAGCCGCAGCGCGTGCAGCCAGAGCCGCACGCAGCGCTCGAACTCCAGCCCGTCGGCGTACACGGCGCCGCGGTAGATGATGGGGTGCGACACGTCCGCGCTGGCGGCGCCCAGGATGCGCTCGCGCACCATCAGCCCCTCCATGTGCAGCGCGTCCCGGTCCCCGCGGATACGCTCCAGCTCGGCCGCCGTCTGGCACTCGCCGCGCCCGCCGTAGGCCTCCACCGGGGGGCGCCGCTCCTTGGGGAGGAGG